AGGTGTCTGGGGCCCCAAGACTAGGAATGGCATAGGGCCCAAACTAGGAGTGTAGAAGGGGGGTGATGGAAGGGTGAATGTGGCTTAGGGAGTCCCAGCACAGAGAGCTGCACTATAGACTTACCCCAAGAGGCCTGAGGATAGTAGTGCAGGCTAGGAGAGTTAGCAGGGGGTGCAGGCCCAGGGAAGCAGAGAGAGGTGAGGGCGGGGCCAGGACCAGAAGCGGTGCTCCTGGAGCCCAAGAAAGGGACTGAGTTGCTCTGGGTGAGAAGGATCAGGAAACAGTATTGGTTCCCCAGGTGTCTGGGGCCCCAAGACTAGGAATGGCGCAGGGCCCAAACTAGGAGTGTAGAAGTGGGGGGGATGGAAGGGTGAATGTCGAAAATTGTTTTTTATGGCCTGCTTTTCATATTATAGTGAGTAGTGCTACTGATTAGAGACCGAGGCATTGAACTTGTCTTCAAACTTTTCTTTTCTAGCCATCATGATATGATAAGCATATACATTACTGTTGTTATCATAAAAGTCAAACTTGTATTTCTCATCTAACCACACTCTAAATCAGAAACACTTCAATACTTGCCTATATATTTTCTTCTGAAACTCATAGCTATTAACCCTATGTCCAAGAAAATCTTGTATGTTAAATTTATTTTTATTCATTTTGATTATTAGATATTATTACTGTAAATTCTCATTCAAAATTTCAAATAATCTTTATTTTTTGGTATTATTCCTATCTGAATAAATTAATAATTCCAATATTAAGCCATGATATATTGATTTATCCTGTTTTTCAGTAAGCTATTAAGTTATTTCCATAGTTTCAAACTACAGAAATTACCTTTGTCTACTGGTGCATTAAATTGCCTACCTATAAAATATATTTATGTTCATGATAAATTTTCTTGATTGGCAACTTGATTAGATTAAAAGGAAAAAGAAACCCAGATTAGTACATGTACACACTTTGTAGTCTGTCTCTGTTTCCAGAGACAATAGGTACATTGCTGAAAATCCTAGGGGTGGAGAATTACCCTGAATGTGGGTGCAGAGATGGAACAGGAGAGAGCAGAAGTCGGAAAACTCACTCTTCTCTGACTTGTAGCTCCCAGATAGTGTGCAGCTCAGGCTGTAAGTCTTCCATTCCCATGATACTCCACCTCACCTCAGATCATGTATTCAACTCATTTCGAACTGAAACTTCTGAAATGGGAGCCAAGATGTCTTATCTTCTTTTCACAAAGGCTAAATGGGTAAGTAACACAAGGGCACATGTAAATAAACCAAGTAAAAGCCTTTTCCAACTTTTTAAAAATTGTATTTATTATTTTTGTCTTATGTGTATGAGTGTATTGCCTGTGTGTGTGTAAACGCACCTTTGTTGTGCGATGCCCATGAAGGCCAGAAAAGAGCATTGGATCCCCTGAAACTGGAGTTATGGATGGTTAGCCACCATGTGGGTGCTAAAAATCAAACCTATGTCTTCTGAAAGAGCAGCCAGTGCTCTCAACCACTATCTCTCTAGTCCCCTTTTAAAATATATATATATATGTATATATGAGTTATATATATATAAGAGTACCTCTTATGTATGTACTATGGTATGGCCTATAGAGTCTGTTTTGTATATTCAAATATCCTTCAGTGTAGGTTCATCCCCTAGGCCTACCAGGAATCCTGTCTTTGTAAGACAATGTCTTTTCTGTGGCTATTGAAATCATCATGTGATTTTTTTTCTTAAGTCTGTTAATAGGATTTATTATAGTTGTTGACTTACATATACTGAACCATACCATTTAAGTCATTTATTTGTGCTCTTTTTGATTTTTAAATGTAGGCAATTAGAGTTATAAACTTCCCTCTAAGGGCTGCTTTTAATGTGATCACAAAGTTTTGCTGTTTTTTATTATCATTTGTATTTAGCTCCAGGAAACTTCTACATCTTTCTTGATTTCTTCTTTGACCCATTCATGACTCAGGAGTGTATTGTTTAATCGCAATTAGTTCACGAAGTTACTAGAGCTTCTTTTGCCAATAACTTTAATCTTTATTTTGTTTGTTGTAGTCTGAAAGAATCAATGGAATTATTTCAATTTTTTGTAATATTAGGGATGTTCCAAGGGCTGCAGAAGAGAATGTATGTTCTTTGGTCCTTGGATAGAATATCTGTTAGTTCCACTTGATGTATGACATCATTTGCTTCAGTTGTTTCTGCATTTATTATTTGTCCAGTGACCTGACTATTGGAGACAGTAGTTTGCACAGGTCTGATCTCTGATCTGAAATTTACTCAGAGCTGGAAAAAGAGGCCTCGGTTATTCTCGGCACACTGAGAGTAAGGAGGAAGAAAGCTTCCTCCTTGGGAACTTGAGTGTTCTTGAACTAAAGTTATTCTTATCATGAGACTGACTGTTCCTTGAACCCTGTTAAATGCACATAAGTAAGCTTGTATAACAAAGCCATGTGGCTAATAAAGTTATAAGTAAAGAACAGAATGTTTAACAAACACAGAAAGACAGATAAGATTCCAAAAAGGGCTGAGCCCTGGGAACATGAAGATACTGTAGATGTTGTGAAGGTACTGTAAATATTAGGATGAGATAATTTGGCTTGAGAAGAACATTTTCTCTTCCTCTTGTTTTGCATAAATAAGGTTCCTTCTTAGAATAAATCACGCATTGGTTCACACTCCACTGCATCCCGTGTCCTGATTTCTTCTGCACCTATTCCCAGGATCCCCAAGCCCAGAGGAGGCTTGAATTGAGACAGCAAGCTTAGAGAAGGCTTGTGCAAGCCCACAGGAGGCTTGTGACAGGGGTTCATCTGTGTCTTGATGTCTTACAAAAATATGGAAGGCTTCATGAATTTGCATGTCATTCTTTCACAGGGGCCATAACAGTCTTCTCACCAACGTTCCAGTTTTAATATATGTGCTGCTGAAGTCAGCACTAAAATCTTGAAATGAAGGCTGACATGGGGATGCACATGTGTCATTCCAACACTCAGGAAACTCAAGTGGCAATATTGCTGTGAATGCCACAGCAGCCTGAGCTACATGGCAAGATCTTTTCTCAACAAATAAATTACAATAAAAATAAACACAGAAAGAAGATCTTGAAATAACTTGAATTTCAATGTATAAGTGTTGTGAGTTCTACAGAAGCCTGAGCTCCACAGCCGAATCTTTTACTCAACAAAAAAATGATAACATTAAGTGAACATAGAAATGAAATCTTGATATAACTTGAATGTCAATGTACAAGAAAGGCTTGCTTTTTCCTAAACACTAAAATATAGCTATTAAATAAGTTATCATATATAAATGTGTTTGTTATATTGTCATATAATTAAATACCATTCTCTGTTTCAATTCCTTGAGACGAATCTTCTTTAGCTTAATTTAAGCCCTAGTGTCTACATACAATTTAGAACAAGATGGTGATAATAAGCAATGATTGATTATTGTTGTCCCTGGCAATGCTCAGTGACCTCCACTTGAGAGTTTTGTCCTTTAGAAAAATGAATATTTACCATGATTACATCGTGTTTACAGTATTATGTAGATCTCCAGCAATGCTCTCACCTATCTAGAGAAGAATTGACTGCCTTTTCGTTAAGTAGTAGAAAGGTAATTACTGTTCTTCCCATTTTAAAGTTTAAGTCTTAATCTTGGTATCTCAGTGCCAGGAGATATGGACTAGAATGAGATAAAAAAATTGAATCTAGAACCTATAGAACATTGGAAATGAAGAGATGGCTCAGCTGTTAAAAGCACTGGTTGAACTTCCAGAGGACCCAGATTAAGTTCCCAATACCCATATGGATGACAACAACTCTCTGTCTGTAATTCCAGTTCCAAGGGATTCAGCACTCGCTATGGTCTCTGCAGGCATTGCACACACATGTTAGCTTACGTACATGTAGGAAAGTCACTCATACACATAAAATGAAAGTAAGTAATAAAAACAAAAAGAATCTGTGGAACAATGGAAGTTTCGTAAAGTAGACATGACAGAATTCTAAAGGGATTTTATAAATAGCATCAGCTGTGAGTTCTGAACTTGAAACTGTGTATTGCTGACTACTTACATGCTGTGACTCTAGAAGATACCTGAAATAGATCATAGATTTTGATCTTTAATAAAGAGACTTCCATGATAATGTCTCTTTTAGGGAAAATAATATTAATGTTTGGAAATGCCTAATTTTAAATTATGTGACAATGCATAAATTATGCTTAATTGCCACTAAATATAATAGAAAAGCAATTTAGTGTAATAGTATCTAATCAGAAATATTTTAATTTAT